ATATAATTAAGATAATTATCAAGTTCTAACAAAATAATTAATTATTATCTTTATAAAAAAATTATATTATTAAACCAAATATAATTACTTCGTTATTAAACCTAAATTAAATTATAATAAAAAAATTGAATTAAATTAGTACACAAAAAATAGAAATGTTAAATAATTAATTTCATACTAGCATCGATATATATATTTTTGTCAAATTTTTATGATATATTCAAACTTATATTTTATTCAAAAATAAAAACATCATCGTTTTGTTCAAAATCACATAAGACCATACCTATAACATCGCTTGAGATAAAAAATAAAATGAAATATTAAAATTAAGATGTATCTCGCTGCATTGCGCGAGTACCTTCTAGTATATATATATATATAAGGGGTTGGTTCAAATACTAACTCAAACTATTGTGCAAACTATCCTAACCGATCTTGATCGTTCATTTTCTCATCAAACGGTCCTTATTAAATGAGACTACAAAAATAATCATTTAATTAATGTATTAAATGAGATGTCTATAAACAACTGTTCAAAAGGTAATTTTGTAAAAAAATCGCATCACATCGTGAACCTATATTATTCAGACGATTTTGTAACCTCCAATCAACTACGAAACTTCCAATCTATACGATCAATAGTGTATATCATTAGCGAAAAATTTGGTTCATAATATTCATCAAAACGATGGATGATTTTAGCGAAATGCATACAAGTTTGGATGTGTGAACCTAATGAATAATTGAAACATGTGTGTGAACCAAATGGACATATTGTGTGAACCAATTGACACATATGTGCACAAGTGAACACGTGTCGACGTTTGAGTGAACATGTGCGTGAACGGTTTGATCATTTTCTTCACTTTCAGAATTCGAAATCCGAATGTATTCGTAGACGCTTTTTTCATTCTCATTGTTATCGATATGTTTTACTCTATGATTATCCATATTACTCGGACTATAACGGAATCTTTACAAAATGGACTTTTTTGAAATTTACAATATCAAAACCATTGTAGGAAGAATGAAATGTAAAAATCAGTAAGATGAACAAATGTGAAACTTCATGTCATTATTACATGAAGATCAATTAGTGATATTTTAAGATTTGTAACTCCCAATTAAAATATTGGGGAGTTACATAAAAATGACAAATTACCTAAATACTCTTACACTTAATATGTGAGTTACATTTGAACATAACTAAAGATGGAACATGATTGGTTGATGTTGGTTAGCATAGTTAACACAAAAAAATGGGTTAGTATTTGAACCAACTTATATATATATATATATATATATATATATATATATA